AGGCCGATGAATGAAATAAGTCCAAAAACCAAGTCCATGCGCTACACCCGGCCCAATTGTATTCCTTATGGATGGCTTGAATCTTGGCCCGTTTACCCCTTTAATGGCCCAACATAAAGCCTAACCCTAGAGTATATATTTGGCTATAACCCTAGCCACTTTGATATGATGATTGTGTGATTTTGAGAGAAGAAACTAGAGAATCCCGGCTGCCCCCCTTTGTGTGAGAAAAAAGGTGTCCAGAACGCTGGTATAACGTGTGCAATTGGTGGTTCTTTCATAGTATACCTTTGTGGTGTCTTCTCTTAGCCTTTGTGGCGATAAATCATCATCCTTTCTTGTCCTACGTGGGTAAGATTGAATAGCAACCAAGGTGAATCAATTGGTTGTGGTTTGGAGCCGTTTGGATTGGTTGTTGATAGAGAAAGGTACGTTGGACTGAGCCTGGAAAACCACCGTTTGAAGATCTTTTGAGAGAGCTTCCGCAACATCAATCCTAGTGTGTCTGCAAGTTCACAAGACTTAAAACATGGTAGAACAATGCCCATTCCAACAAAATTACTGTGATGGATCTTTTGAAAGCTTTTAGCAATCACTGCTTTGATTCCCTGTTATAAGGTAAATATAACTATATCACCATCAGAGATGGTTTCTTCAATGATGAAGAAAAAGATGAATAAGAGGAAAGAAAAACTACTAACATAAGAAGTCATAACATAGACTCACCAGTAACATTATGCCCTTCACAGCCAATCTCGAGAGCTTCTGCTTTCGTATTCTGTTCCAGCCAAGACAATAGTGTCCACTCCAGCAGATTTATATCTCTGATAGTTGCATATTGGTGAAAAAGTGTTCGAATTACACAGGAACTTGGAGTATTAGGTGAAGGAATTGATAGAAACTGATACTAATGGAAAAAAAAAACACTTCAAAGAAGATGAATTTGACCAAGAAATATGACATCAAACAAAAGTTCTTTCAAAAAGGCAGAATAAAAAACCATAAAAAAAGTTCATGAAAATTACCATTGCACCATCAAACATAGAGAGCTTCTCTCTAGTGGGAATATGTAGTGGCTTGAGGCCAACTTTCTCATTCAATAACTTGTTCACAAGGTGAATATTTACAAAAGTTCCCCTTGGCATACCACTTTCTAATATAGCAGCAACATCTAATTCATCCAATTCTCCATAATTTCCTATGCATGTTGTGAAACCATTACCCACAATATGGAAGCCTTGTTCCAAATACTTTAGTAGCCCACTACATTGCAAAACATACATATTCACATATGCATGTAAAAACAAATGTTCGGATTTTAAGGTATGAATAATGTTCACGAAATATTTCTTTCCACTTAATATTACCGCAAGTTTACGGTTCATTAACAAGTAATAAAGTAGAATGTTAAGTTCCAATTATCATCCCACAGAGATCGGGTAGTTTAATTCAAACTATCTTGGCCTTAACCGAAACAAATTCTTCATAATAGAAATTTATTCTTTGAAAGAAACCCTAATTAGTAAAACCCTAATTTCTAAAAACCCTAATTAATCAAACTTGATGATTGGAATGAACTCAATGTGCAAAACAATATTTTAATGAATTAAAATGCAAATTAAATGTTTAGAACGCAAATTGGTTGTATTTAATGAAAATTAAAAGCACTAAGATCACGAATTCCCATGTAATGATCAATCTTAAACCTAATTTCACAAAATGACAACACGATTGAATTATTGACGAATCAATGCTCCTAAATCTATTCAACACTCTCTCGAGAGATGTTGAACCTATCCTTATACACCACCGGCCTATATCTCTATGACAAATGCATATATAAGAATGCATGTAGTTTGATGAACATTTAAAGATTCACGCAAAGCATTGGGATATATCTCTATTTCCTATTGGACCCTACGACGATTTATATTGTGTCTAATTTATTTCTCTTCTCTCGAACAGATAAAATAAACCACGAAGCATTACATAATTATGTGCACTTAATTATGGACGAAAATTATTGTATATAAATCATTCAAATATTCAATACATGTTTATTGTCAAATTGAAAACTAGAAATTAAAGAAATTACATCATATGGTACATCGATCTCCTAGTGCATGAAAACCTAGCCTATCATCGAGAAAATTACTAAGTACATGATAAATTGAAGAAAAAGCATCACCAGGTTATGAATTTGCTTGAAATCTTGATGATCTTCGTGTAAATCCTTATTACTTTGGTTCAAAATCCTCTCCAAGATGTGTTTTCTTGCCTCCCAATACATTCTTCCCCGAAATATGATGGCTCTAGGTTTTTATATCGTGTCTTAATCGAGTTCCAAAAGAATTATATCGAAAATAGGAAACTACAGATTCGGTCCCTGATTTATGCTTTTGCGACCGCATAGGCTTAACCTATGCGGTCGCATAGGCTAACAAAAATTGGCCCTTTAATGTTCGGGAGGTTCCTATGCGATCGCATAAGTATAACCTATGCGACAGAATAGGTTCCCCTTTTTTTAACGTTGATTTTTGTCCTTAAACATTATTTTTCACATTCTTGGCCTCGTTTCTTCCTTCTTTTCATTCCCTTTATCAATGTTAACCTCCAATTAGTACTTGGCTTGATCTAATCTTTGATTTTTCCTTTGGTTCATCTTTTGGATATTTGCATGTTGGTTCCTGAACTTTCATTTTGTTTCGTTTTGGTCCTTTCGCTTCTTTTTCTCGTGAATTCCACCATGTCCATCACTATATTCTACAATCAAACAATTGAACGAATTTAAGCAACAATTTAAATATTTATCTCATGATTTAGTCATGTTTGTGCATTAAATAAGTGCACAAAAAACGCACTTATCAAATCCCCCAAACTTGAACTGTTGTTTGTCCTCCAACAAAATAGTGACTTAACTCAAAAACACACATGGGTCAATAACCTGCCATGTCTCAGGATTGGACTAAGTCTTTTGCTTCAAGAAAATCGATTAATGCATGAATGAAATCAACCTTTACTTGTTGAATACATACTTGACGTGTGTATGTGAAGTCATGCCAACATATCAAGCTCATGATTGGTTAAATCCCGACCCCAAAATGGTCAAATATATCCTTACTTTGCTCGAGAGATACACAACCCCCCCAAACTTATTCTTTTCACTTACTTATCCCGGGGTTGTGTTTTAAAGTTAAAGGAATAGGTGACTCTAGTCCTTACCCTCTCTTTGTTTGGATTGATCTCACCATCATAGGTTCGCATGTCAACAAGTAAAGGCTCTCCTAGATTTGATTGCTTCAATACTCGAGATAAAACTAAATTACTTGTCTCGCCTTGAAGGTGTGATTTTTATCAACTGAATGTCCAAGGCCTTTATTCATACCATCATATTCTGTATTATTGTAGTTTTTTTATGTCGTCTTCTCATTTGCTTTCTATATAACCCCTGTAACGAGCTTTAGGCTAGTGATTCCCAAACCAGCTGGCTTTAGGGCACCAGTTTTTAAATCCTTGCAGCTTATTCACTCAAGTTATAAAGGCTCGATCGGATGAGTTTTTATTGACCTCTTCCCCTCTTGCTTTCTATATGACCACTGTAACGAGTTTTGGGTCGGTTTCTCCCAAATCAGTTGGCTTTAGGGCACCAGATTTCGAGATATCCGCGAAGGCTTACTTGCTCGAGTCATAAAGACTTGGAAAGGTGTCTTATTTTCGTAACCTAAAATTATGCCCCCTTTTTGTTTTTTCTATACATTTGGTCTCTAGAATCAACCCCCAATTTAAAATCTTCTCCTAGTTTTCATCTAACTTGTCTAGGCAATGCATACAACGTAATTCATGCACAGAGCCCCCACCTATCTCAATGTTCCACTATAATTGTTAAATCGTCTCCAAACTATTCATTAAGGCAATTTAGTTTATGGATCTACATTACTTTATGACTTAATCTAATCGAGGTCTTCTAGTTTTTCCTGTTTTACTCAAACCCAATCACTCACCGGACAAGTATGGCATAAGTAGCGTGCATATGGAATGTCAAGTACTACCTCAACAAGTATCAGTTAATCAAATTCTGCACCATATTCTCAGTTCCCCTGTAATTGTTAAACTGTCTTGAAACTATTCATTAAGGCAATTTGGTTTATGGGTCTACATTTCATTATGGCTTAATCTAATCGAGATCTTCTGGTTTTTCCTGCTTTATTCAAACCCAATCATTCACCTGCATGTATGGCATGAGTGGCGTGCATATAGAATGTCAAGTACTACCTCAACAAGTATCAGTTAATCAAATTTTGTACCATATTCTCAGTTCCTAACATATACTTATTTCAATAATCACATCATTGCTAGCAAGGCTATCAAACCCACACAGGCATGCAATGAACTTAATACAGCATATTGATCCAACAATCACTCATTAGGCACACAATATGCAAACAGTAACAAAGTATTGATGGAATGTGATCATTTCTAAAAGGATTACATTACCTGCCGATAATTTAGTTTCCAAAATGTGTCACGTTCAAAATATGCCACCACCCCCCAAACTTATACAGTACATTATCCTCAATGTGAAAAATAAAAGTGTGAAAAAGCATAATTTGAAGGAAAAGTGCACAATAAAAATAGCAAAATGAGTTAAATAAAACTCCCCTGATTACTGTGGTGGTGGTGACTGATAGCTAGGTCCTACGGTGCCATCGCCAGGTAGATGTGGGAAATGAGCCAAGATCTACCTCAGTAGATCCGACTGCTGGACTTGCTCTGATTGCATGGCTCTCATCATGCTACTCTGTGCTTTGATTTCGCCCTCCATGTTATGAATTCGGTCCCAAGTGTTGTTCACTCTTATCTACATTCCATCTACTCTATCCACATATATACTCAGTCGTTCATTCATAGTTTCCATCTCTCGCCTAGCTGATCAGGCCTCCTGATATGCAGTCTACACCATGGTTTGAGTGGTACTGATATCACGTCGAGCTGTCTGCATGTCAGTGGTCAAAGCCCTTAGAGCTTCCAGGGAGAAGCTTGAGCCTCGAGTTATATAATAGGACTTTCTGCCCCACTTCAAACTCTCGTTTCTGAATGTGTAGATCATGCCACTTTTTGATGCGTTCTTTAATAAGCTTCGAGTTTTCATATGCTTTCATTCTGAATTCATCTAACTCATTGAGCTGTAATAAACGCTTTTCACAGGTGGCCTTCATATCCATGTTCAACTGTTTCATAGCCCAATATGCCCGGTGTTCTATTTTCAATGGAAAGTGGCACGCTTTTCCAAAAACTAGGCAAAATGGAGATATGCCTATCGGTATCTTGAATGCTATCCTATATGTCCACAATGTATCGTCCAAATTTTTAGACCAGTCCTTTCGGGAAGAATTCACTGTGACATCTAATATTCTGTTCAGTTATCGATTGGACACTTCGACTTACCTGCAAGTTTATTAAAAATACAGGGATGCTACATGGTGTTTAACCCCATATTTACTCAATAATTACTTGAATTGGTGATTGCAAAAGTGTTTGTCCTCGTCACTGATTATTGTTCGCGATGTGCCATATCTGGTAAAGATGTATTTCTTCAAGAACCCAATTACCATTTTTGCGTCGTTCGTTGGCAATCACATTCTTCTATCCATTTTGACACATAATCAACTGCTACCAGGATGTGCTGATTTGAAAACAATGGGAGAAACGGTCCCATAAAATTGATTCCCCAGATGTCAAATATCTCGACCTCCAATGTTGTTAAGTGGCATCTCATTCCTTCTTGAGATGTTCCCAGTGCGTTGACATCTATCACACCTCTTAACAAACTCAAAGGCATCTCTGAACAACGTAGGCCAATAGAATCCTGATTGTAAGATCTTAGTGGCAATTTTTGAAGCTCCCAGGTGTCCCGCATAGGCAGATGAATAGCAATATTCAATAATTTTAGGTACTTCATCTTCAGGTATACTACACCTTCTCACAATTTGATTGGCCCCTTGCCTATGGGGAATATAATCTTTCCAAAAATAATATTTTAGTTCGGCAAAGAACTTTTTCTTCTGGTGACTCGAGTAATCTGGAGGTGGGATTGACTTAGCTAAATAAATGATGATATCTGCATACCATGGGGATTCTTCTGCACTGAACATCTGCTCATCTGGAAAAATTTCACTAGTTTCCACCGACGCTTCTGGTTCTTCTTGTTCTAATCTCAATAGGTGATCTGCTACTACATTTTCAATGCCCGTCTTATCCCTAATTTCAATGTCACAATTTTCCAGCAGTAATACCCAACAGATTAATCTCGGCTTAGCATCCTTCTTTGTCTTTAGATACTTTAATGCAGCATGATCTGTGTAGACTATGACCTTAGACCCTACGAGATATGATCTGAATTTGTCAAAGGCATAGACCACCACCAAGAGCTCCTTCCCAGTAGTTGCTTAGTTGATCTGGGCATCATTCAATGTTCGACTTGCAATAGATTACATGAAAGATCTTGTTCTTTCGCTGTCCCAGTAATGCACCTACGGCATGATCACTGGCATCACACGTTAACTCAAAAGACAACTCCCATTCAGGTACTACAATTACCAGTGTTGACGTGAATTTCTCCTTCAAAGTATTGAAAGCTGTCAGACATTCCTCATTGAATTCAAAGGGCACGTCTTTCATTAACAGGTTGCAGAGAAGCTTGGTGACTTTTGAAAAATCCTTTATAAATCTCCCGTAAAATCCAACATGTCCCAAGAAGCTGCGAACCCCTTTCACTGATGTTGGTGGCGGTAACTTCTCAATAACCTGATCTTTGCTTTGTTCACCTCAATCCCTTTTGCTGAGACCCGATGCCCAAGTACGATCCCTTCTTACACCATGAAGTGGCATTTTTCCCAGTTTAATGCTAAATTGGTTTTCCTGCATCTTTGTAATACCAAATTCAAGTGTTCCAAACACTCTTCAAACGAAGACCAGAAGATCGAGAAGTCGTCCATAAATATCTTTATAAATTTCTCTACCATGTCTGAGAAAATCGCTATCATACAACGTTGAAAAGTTTCAGGGGCGTTGCAAAGGCTGAAGGCATCTTGCGGTATGAGAAAGTACCGTAAGGGCACGTGAATGTAGTTTTCTCTTGATCATCTAGTGTCACTGGTATCTGATTGTAACATGAATACCCGTCGAGGAAGCAATGGCCTGCTAATCTCTCCAGCATTCGGTCTATAAACGGAAGGAAAAAGTGATCTTTCCTTGTTACTGTATTGAGTTTACGGTAATCAATGCAAACCCTTCATCCTCTGACTGATCTGGTCGGTATCAGCTCATTCTTCTCATTGAGCACTACCGTTATTCCTCCTTTCTTTAGCACCACCTGAACTAGGCTAGTACATGCACTGTCTAATATCGGATAGATGATTGCAACATCTAAAAGTTTGAATACCTCTACACTAACAACTTCCTTCATGTTTGGGTTCAATCTTCGCTGACTTTTTATGGTTGGCCAGAAATTCTCTTCCATGAGAATCTTATGCATGCATAGTGAAGGGTTGATCCCTTTGATATCTACTATGGTCTGTCCAATTGCTATCTTATTCTCCCTGAGTACTCTAAGTAGTTTCTCTTCTTCCACTTCATTGACTGTGTTCGAGATGATCACTGGAAGTGTACTCAACTCTTCCAAGTATGCATATCTGAGATGAGGCGGTAACTGCTTGAGTTCTAATTTTGGCAGCTGCTGAATGGACGATAGTGGTTTTGTGGGTCGTATCAAAAGCTCCTTAAAATTTCTTTTGCGTGTATACAGTGGGTTAGTGTCCAAAAATCTTGCACATGTTTCCATCTCCATTGAATTAGACTGCGTTGACTGCGAATGTGCAATGTAAGCTTCGTATGCATCGATGCGTTGTGTAGCAAAAACGAGTCTTGGATCACCTTATCAATCATGTCGATCTGGAAGCAGCTATCTGTCTCTTTAGGTAGTTTCATTGCCTCAAAGACATTAAACGAGATTTGCTCTTCTCCCAGTCTCAATATCAACTACCCATGTTGAACATCGATTAAGGCTCTTCCTGTTGCAAAAAATGGTCTGCCCAATATGAATGGAATGTCCTTGTCTTCTTCCATGTTCAAAATTAGGAAAAATGCAGGGAATATAAAATTTTCCACCTTGACAAGCACATCTTCAATTCTTCCCGTGGGATGTGTCAATGACGTGTCAGCCAGCTGCAATGTTACAATAGTCGCCTTAGCCTCTCCCAAGCCAAGTTTCCTGAAAACACATAGAGGCATTAAATTAATATTTGCACCAAGATCACACAAAGCTTTATCAAAATGAACTTCACCAATTGTGCAAGGGACCGTAAAACTCCCTGGATCTTTCAATTTTGGTGGGAGCTTTGCCTGAGTTCTAGCGCTGCATTCCTATATTAGCATTACTGTTTCATGATCTCTTAGCTTGCGTTTGTTTGATAGTATGTCCTTCAAGAACTTTGTGTAGCCAAGCATTTGGAATAGTGCATCGGCGAGTGGGATGTTGATGTGGAGTTTCTTAAAAACTTCAAGAAATTTCTTGTATTGTTGCTCCAACTTCTGCTTTTTTAGCCTCTATGGAAAAGGTATGGGAGGCTCATGAGTGTTAACGGTTGCTTTACACTGTGTTTTCTTTGGTTTTTCAACTGGGGTGGATTCCTCTATCTGCTCATCATGCTCTACTGGTTCTATCATTGGAGATTCTGTTTCTCGATGTACGCCTGACCTTTTTACATGGATTTCTGGTAGCTGCTTTCCACTTTGAGTTGTAATTGCCTTAGTATGCTCTATCGGAGTTATTTCTGTGTTACTCGGTAAGCTACATGTGCTCTACCAGTCAAAGCAACTACCCTCTGTCCCATTTGAGTCTCTAAATTTTTGGGTGCTGCATTCTGGTCTTAAAGGGTGGCTTCGATTTTCCTCATGAATTGGTTGTTAGCTTCCATATATTGATTAGTCTTCTCCATGAATTTACCAAACATCTCTTTCAATTGAGGCTTTTTCTCTGGCTACTGATATTGACCCTGTGGTTTATTCTAGTTTTTATTGCTCCAAGAGAAAATTGGGTGCTTTTCCAACTTGAATTGTATGTTCCCCATATGTGTTATTTTGCTACCGCTGTCCCCATTGAGAAAAATCTGTCTGCTCTACTCCTTGTACTAAGATTGGACATTCTGCTGTTACATGTTCGGTTCCACATTCTTCACAATTGACCTTCTTCGACTGTGCTGCTGTAACTGATTGTGTCGTGTTCTCTACCTTGTGAAATAAAGAATCAATTTTTGCTGACAAGGTGGAATAAACATCTACTTCATAAACCCTTGGTGTCTTCTTCTGAACTACTCATTTCGATGTCCACATAGCTGACGTGGTAGCCATAGTCTCGAAAAGTTTCAGTGCCTTATCAATTGTCTTTGTGGATAGCAATCCATTAGAAGATGAATTAACCATGCTTTTGAAGGCTGGGAGTAATCCCGCATAGAAGTATTGGACCTGAAGTCCTTTGTTAATTCCATGGTGTGGACACTTTCGCAGCATATTCTTGAACCTATTCCAGACTTCATCAAAATTTTTCGAGTCACCTTGGCGAAAAACAGAGATGTCATGCTTGAGCTTTGCAATCTTAGCAGGTGGGAAGAACTTAGTGCAGAATTTCTGGACTAGATCATTCTATGTGGTGATGCTTGCCATTGGTTGCGAATCTAGCCATTCAATTGTCTTGTCACGCAGTGTATGTGGGAACAACCTTAATTTTATTGCATCGTCTAAGATTTCTTGATATCTAAAGTGTTGGTACATCTCCAGAAAACAAGAAATATGCGTATGTGGATTCTCTTCAATCCTTCCATAGAATTGATGACCGCTTTGAAATAATTGTATCACATTAGTCTTCAGTTGGAAATTCGACCATCCAAACGGTGGATATACGATGCTTGACTGGCTTTGAATTATCTGAGGGGTCATGAAATCTTCCACGAGCATATTTCCTTCATCCGCTGTCCCTTCTTCATTGCTCTAAAAATTGGATTATTCTACACGTTAATCATTTGTTGCTGTACCTTTCTATTTTCTCACTGCCTTTGATGTAGAGTTCGTTCGATTTCTGGATCAGTTGGGATCAATTATCCTTCAGCTGACCTTAATATGCAAATCAAAAATGAAATTGAATAAAATTAAATAAAACACAACAAAATAACAGAAAATGCAAAGATGAATGTTCAAATTATTACCAATATAAATAAAATTAAACCAACGGTGTAAAAAACTTGTTCACGAAATATTTCTTTCAACTTAATATTACCGCAAGTGTACAATTCGTTAACAAGTAATAAAGTAGAATGTCAAGTTTCAAATATCATCCCACAGAGATTGAGCAGTTTAATTCTAACTATCTTGGCCTT